TCGTACAGGGAGCCCTCTACTTTTGTACTTTACACTTCATTAAATATTCTTTTAATTAATAGCCCAAGCGTATTCTTTCAAGATACCTTCAACAGTAGATATCCAGATTTTTTCTAAGGAATAAATAAAACACCCAATATATTTACTATGTATAATGTACTGGAAAAATTAAAACAAATTTGTATACTCACAACAGCTAGTTACGGTATTATACTGGTGGCAACATTTTTATGGCCGCGCCAATATTTGTGTATGTTTGGCAAGGCCATAAAAATGCTACCGGTCCACTACTAATTTATAAATATCTTAATACGCATGGGTAATCAGGCCGTTAGATAAAAACAGGTAATGAATAAGTAATAAACAGATAAGAAAAGGATAAAAACAGGAAATAAACGGGTAAAACTGGTAATCTGTTTATCTTATTGGTCAAAATGATCACGCATGCGTATTAAGACATTTATAAATTAGTAATGGGGGTGGGGCCAGAATCCCTCTATTTACACTACTTATAAGATTTTTTAGGATACTACTACGATCACTTTCAATTTGAGCAAAAATTCATGAAAACAAAAATTCATACAGGTGCGCCAGAACTCGCGCCCCAGAGAACGTAAGATGCCAGAAACTTGGAAAAAATGTTAAAAAAATTTTATTTATAAAAATTTCGAAGTTATGAGAGTTCAAATTTTGCACTTTGATTCTATTTATTTATGTTGGAAAAATAATTATCCAAGTTTTTTTGGTACAGGCTATTAGAAGAGGGAACAAGGAAGCTGTATCCTAAATTGTAACTCTGTTCAATGTTGTTTGTGGCTTTTATTAGCAAAATTTTTATACCTTTACTAAATAATTGTAATTTGTAAAAAAATTTATACAAGATCATCAGTATCATTAAATAAACATAAAAAAATGTCAAATGTCAAAAAATAAATGTCAAAATTTTTTGACAGAAACATTTTTTTAAACATTTTTTCCATGTCTTGGTATCTTATCTTACTTGAAATTTTTGGGGCGCGAGTTCTGGCCCAGCCTGTATTCCGGACTCGTAACTAACTATGTAAACGCTAGTTACCAATTCAGTATCCTAAAAAATTATTTTCTTAAAATTCGTCTATATTTGCTTAAATTTGATAGTTTTGACTTACCAAACTTATTTATGAGAGATTTATTTAAGGTGGTTGTAAAGCTATTGTTATTAAAGCGACCAGCTGGTCGTTGAAACAACCTCAGAGGAAACAAACCTTTACAATTGAGGGGTTGGGGTTTCTTTATCGCTAAAAACCTCTATTGCACTAGAAAATTCAAGCAAATATAGACAGACTTTAATCTAAACGAATACCTAATAATTCAATAAATAAATACTGTATCTAGCTAAAAATCATGGAGGATTAAATAGACAATTTATTCCTCCATGCTAAAAATGGCAACTTATATTTTATTTTAACTCTGTCTTTATCTTTTCAACGCGTTAATTAATTAAATCTCAGAAGGTCATTCGTAGTAAGAGAACACCCACTTTTCTTAATATTTAGTACTTCCTGAAGAACATTTCTTGTCGCTTCTTCCCGGTTTTTACCCACATGCATAAAATACAAATCGGTATCGTTAATTTGAACATACATAATACAAGGTTCCTTTTGGAATTGCTTTAATGTGTAGCAAATGTTGTGTAATCTTAGTTTATTTTGAAGACTCTCAATAGTTTCTTCGTCGGCCTAAATAASTAGTAGATGATGAAATGTTACAAAATCCTATTCTTACCAAAGTGATGCCAGGAGTGGGTTCAAGAATCTGACTCGTTTTTGACAAAGTAACCTTTGTTTCATTTAATGTGAGTCGATTATACTTTTGTATAATATCTCCAGCATTGTTTAATGTAATTGTTGTTTTTTCATGTACCCTCAGTAAAACTGGTTCATTTTTCTTAACCCTTAAAATTACTTTTAAAATATATACAAAAACTACATTAAAACTTACAATTCCAACATTTGTCTTGCAGCATCCTGCTTGGCGTCTTTCTTATTCATCCCTTTCCCCATGCTTTCTTTATCCAAAAAAGAACATTTAAAGAAAAAGTCGCCGTTTACCGAAACCGTGATAAAATCATAATTTGGATACTTTGCGCCAAATTTGGCTGCATATTCGTTCAAATCGCCGACGTAATTTCTAAAGACATTATCAACACGAGGTAAGGATGTTTGTTCTAAAATTATGATTTCCGAAGACTTATGATCTTCTTTCAGTTTCATGAGAGCGTTTTTAGCGCTTTCGTGTTTAGCAGTCTTTTTGGAGGTTCCATAACCAATAGCAGTCACGCCAGCTGCACGAACAGTACATTTAAAAGAAGTACCAGAACCTTCCTCGACGTAGATGGGCAGAGGGACTCCCCTAGCAGCCATTAGTTCTTGTAGTGCGGATATGGGTGTTTTGCCGTTCATTATGGATCTTCCTGAAATTAAACACAAATAAGGCGACCAGTTTTTTTATATTTTATCCTCAAGGATCGCAGTTTCTTACAATTTTATGAGGCCTGTGCCTGTAAAATGCAATTAGCAATACAAGTCGGTATTTTGGGGTGCGTACATTAGACGCAGGTCTCGTAAAGTTTTGTAAAACACCTTGTATACAGAGTGTGCCAAAACTCACGCCCCAGAGAAAAATGCGATGTATAGTAAAATCGTTTTCATAAGACCTACTAAAAATTTTATGGCACATTACTCGTATAAGGGACTAACCAAACAATGGCTTGAATTTGTAACCCTACATAAATGGCACGTTCCTTTGCAAGTGTTGCTGCACCCACTAGAATAAGACAGGGCCGTATTTAAAACTAAAGTAGTGGTAGTGGTTTACCGAGCTATTATTTAATAATAGCTTGTTAATAACCACCTGGCTTTTTTTTAATTTCTTAAAATACTTGACTTTAATAACAACTACATCAAAAACTATTAAAACATTTCAAGTATTTTAGACAAAAAGAAAGTAAGTAATTCGGCCCTATTAAAAACTGACCTGTTTCAGGGTCCGCGTGAGTTCCACTAATTTATTATTTGTTTACCTTCTGGTTTACTCTTAACAATACCACATTTAACTTAAAAGTAATAAAATTTTTAGTAGGTCTTAGGAAAACGATTTTATTATAAGGTAAGATACCAGGAACATGAAAAAAATGTTAAAAAATTCTATCTATAAAAATTCTGGAGCTATGAAAGAAATGATTTTCCAAGTTTTTTTGCTACAAGCTATTAGAAGAGGAAACAAGGAAGCTGTATCCAAAATTGTAACTTTGTTATTTTTTTTCATGTTCCTGGTATCTTATCTTACTTGAATATTGACACACGCTGTATGTGTGCCAGCGACTTGGTAAAGTCCATTATTGACATTTAAATGTTAAATTAAAAAAATAAAATTATTTAAGACATTGATAGATACTAAACTATTGCATTGCCTGAAATTATTTTTAGCTATACAGTGTGTCTCAAAAATAAGTTACAATAAAAACTTATGTTTTTTTTTTTAATGAAATACCTACCCAATGTTTCTTAGGCATTGTTGCTGCATTTAATATTAAAATAAATAAAAAAAAGTCTTTTCTTAAGTCCTATTATCTCAAAGTATATTGTTATATCGGGTCTTTTTTTAAATTCGACGTCGACGTTGGCTTTGCAAAATTGATTGTGAACCAACCCCACCAAGATTACCAAAATTAAGATTATGATGGTTAACTTTGTGTTTGTTTATGTGTTCGTGGTGTGTTCACAACTAGCTTGTCACGGCCAACTGCGACGTCGAATTTTAAAAATGACCCGTTACTTGCTATATGTTTTGTCTATTTTTAAATTGCCATCTTCAGGCAATATTGTTTAATTCACTTCCGATCCCGCCTAATACTTTTATTATGTCTCTTACATTACAAAAACAAAAATTTGTGTGTTTAATTTTAACTTTTTAAGTTATTTAACTTTTAACAAACTTCTACATTTTTTATCTTTACAAATGCAATACATAAAAAACTGTTGTACCTTTAAAGTTTCTACTTTCTTCTTTGTAGTAAGTTAACGTGGAAGCGTTAACACCTCAATTTTTAAAAAAATATTTTATTCTTCGACACTGTCAAAATTTACGGTTTTTCTCCCGTGTAAGGAAGTTTTGACAACTGTTTGGCATTTCTCAATACGAAACGTCAGACTATTTTTGACAGATTTAATTACACTCGTTTGAGTGTAAATCGAACGGATTATTTCACCGAGTGGGTTATTAAACCACGAGTGTAACGTCGAATAAATAACTATTATTTCACTCAAAATTATTATTACACTTATTTTATTATTATAACTTCACTTTTACAATTATTTTATTAATTTCACAATTAATTTAATTTTACAATAATGAATGGCTTGAGAGAACTTAAAATTGAAACTTGACAAACCCAGACTTAAATTCCGAGTAAAACGCGTATTTTTTATCCTGCATTATAATATAAATTAGTGCAACGGTTGCAAGGTTTTTGATGATGGTAAAACGCGTGATGTTTACGTCTCCTTATGGAGGCTTCTATGCTGATCCATATGCACGTGGATGGAGATAACATAACAGGTAGTATTTTTTTCTAGTTGTCCTAGTTTTTGCGTAATACATTTTTTAAAAGAGTATGTTTTTGTCAAAAAACCCTTATTTCAAAAACTAATCAAAATAACAGTTAAACTTAAAAATATTGTAATAAAAAGCTACATCCAAAAATGCCAATAAACATACCCATGGCGTTTTATTTAAAAAAAACGTATTGTAACTTATTTTTGCAACACGTTGTGGAGTTGACAATAAATTCAGGCGCTGCAGTAGATTAGTATCCACCAATTTCCTATATACCTACAGGGCGAATCATTTATAAGAAAGAGCTTAATCCATTTTCAGACGCAACCCCAAATTGATACATCTTGGCTGTTATTATTTATTATGTTAAAGAAAAAAAAAATAATTAAAATCAAAGTAGTGTAGGGCCATTTTTGAAACAACAATTAATTAATCGATTTAGATACTCGTACAATTAAGTACTATGCCCGTTGGTGACCTGAAATTGAAAAAAGAATTTTGAAAAGTACCCACTCAACCACTTTGAAATAATCCTGTCAAAGCCTGTAAAAATAAAATGAGGGTGTGAAACATCTGGTTGCGATCAACGACCACTCGGGGGTGGTGTGACCTGACCCTCGTAAAATATTCCATGTTTTAGGTATGGGTTTTCTCAGAAAAACTGTCGAAGTCTGTTTATGAATATGTATTTAGTTAATTGCTCGAGATTATAGTGTCAGAAATAATATTGAAATTCAGTAAAGAAAAATAAAAACAATTACGGTGGAAAACCCTGTCTTACAGTAGGTAGTTGTTGATATGTCATTAATTAAATTTGATAATGTCACCAATTCCACTTTTTCCCTTCAATCCAAAATGTACTCAAACGACGAAAAAACTGACATGATCTTATTGATATACAGGTGTTCGTTTTTCGAGCTCCACCATAAGAGAACGACGTTGGTTAAATTAGGGCAAAGTTGCGTATTTTTATGCTGAACAATAATCTGAAAGAAAATTTAATGTGTCGTTATTAGTTTTTGAATTATTGTAATTTTCGTTTTTATTTTTTCAAGCGAAAACTAAAAGACCTTTTTAACTAGGACGTTCTTAAAGCTTTTTTTTTACAGGGAATATAAATCTGTCATCGTATTTCATAAGACGCTCTTGATACAACACTCAAATTTAAAAAAAAGCGTTTTTTTCTTAGAGTGCTTTGGAAAAAACGGCACCACAAATCTTGACAGTTCAATTGAATTTAGATCTGGAATTCACATTTCCGGCAAACTTACGAGTACCTACTTAAAAATAAAGGTTTTGAAATAGGAACAACGTGATAAACTAGAATTTACTTTTCGCAAAACAAAACAACACAAAATTATGAAAGAATTTAGTTTGTTAGTTAAAATTGTTGGCATTTTTTCCAAAGCACTCTTCGCAAAAACGCTTTTTCTTAATTTTGATCAACATGTAAAATTTGATCATATCGTGTGATACATCGTTGTAATCTGGAACAAAAAGACTTTTCAAAAATACAGAATTCAAATGTGGCGCCCATAAGAAAATCCAAAGTTGAGATTTCTTGTAAAAAAGTGTCTTAAGAACGTCCTAGTTAAAAACGTCTGTCTTTTACTTTTCGCTTGAAAAAATAAAAACGAAAATTACAAATTTCCGTTTTTCCCAATAATTCAAAAACTAATGATGACACATTAAATTTTCTTTCAGATTATTGTTCAGCATAAAAATGCGCAACTTTGCCCTAAGTTAACCGACTTCAAATCTCTTATAATAACTGAGATCCCCATGGTGGAGCTCGAAAAACGAACACCCTGTATGGAGAATGCCACAAAATGCTGTCGCTGAATCTGTACCGTATAGTCTGTTCCATTTAATAAACAATTGTCAGTGTCAAAATTTGAAAAAAAATTCGTTGTATGCCTTTAATTGAAGAAATTTATGAACTAGGTGTATTGCTCACCCCAAATCCGGGTACGTAATGTAGATCTAATTTCTCAATTTTCCCTTTTAGAGCTATATGAACTACTTTTATACACGATTTTGACATTGACAATTGTTTATTTAAAAAAACAGATAATAGGTACATCGTAGGACGTCAATTTATAAAAACTGTCAAAGCTATCACAGGTATCTATGTTTATTTCTTTGAAAAATTTTAAACAAAACATCAATAAACGCATAGTGAGAATGTATATTGGGTTAGAACTGAAAATCAGTTAGGGCCTTTATTATTTATGACTCACCCTGTATAGGCTGCCCCACGAGTAATAATGACAATGGGCCCGAAATATTTTTAAAGCAACCAACATTACATGCAAAGATAATAAAATATTTGGTTTTCATTAATTAAATAGAACTTTGCATCGTCATTTGTTTTTAAAATGCAAAACTTTTTTTTTAACAGCAACAGAGGCCAAATTGAGAGAAATTACAATTATGTATCTCTCGTTTGATATTCAGGTCGCACAAAATGTTTTACGCCATATTATATTATATTATATTATATTATATTATATTACATTATATTATACAGGGACATTTTTTTTATTACATAACCCTGTGTATACTTTTAAAAAAAACGGGTCAATTTCATAGGGTAGGCGACCAACATTTCAAGCTTTTAGAGGGTACTAGATATTAAAATATTCAAAACGAAAATTTTGTGTTAAGTTTGTCAAATTTGTGTGTTTGTGAAATTTAAAGCGCATCAGCTTTGAAAAGTTAATCCCATTTGTATGCCATGTACACCAAAGTGGAGCGGGAGATATGGCCGCATCGCATGGCCCCCACAATCGCCACACTTGGCACTTAACGATTTTTTTTCTTTGGGGGTATTTAAAAACAAAAATGTATACTAATGTTCTAATGCAAAATTTAGAAGAGCTGAAAGAACGTATTCGTACAGAATTTAATAATATAGTTCCTGAATTTAGCAGGAATGGAGTGGCAGGAACTGCAAGGAAAGCATTTTGAACACTTGTTTTAATTATTAAATATTTTTCATGTCTTGATGGGTTTTATTTTTTTTTAAATTAATATTTAATTACATTTACTTTGTTATTTTTAAAAGCTTGTCTTTTATTTAACGATATTAAAGCCTTTGTAATATTGGTTGCTTATGCCTAGACTAACTAAATCGAAATAGTCAAGTTGACCCGGTTTTTTAAAAGTATACATAGGGCTATGTATACTAATAAAAAAATGTCCCTGTATATTATAGTCTAGTAAACGCGAAAACTTCAGCCAATTTTTTTTAATATAAACAAAAAAAATTCAGTTATGTACGAGTACATACCAGGTGAATAAAAAGTATGGAACCAAGCGTTTTTTTCGTAAACTAAGGACTTTACGAAAGAAATAATTAGTGTAGCGTAAAGTACAATTAAAATGTGACCATTTATCAAAAATAACATTTTTCGAAACTTCTTTTAGTTTTCGAGTTTTAGAAAAAAAAATTTTTTTTAAATGGCAACCCACCATGATAATTTTTTTAATTAAAGATTTTGATCTAAAAATGACCTCTGATTAAATAAAATTGCTTTTTAGCCAGTACTTTTTTTTTAATAAATTGTTATAGTTGAAACGACCCCTTCGGTTACGTTCGGAAGATCTTCGCGATGAGCTCGGAACACAACTTCAACAATTTATTAAAAAAAAGTACTGGCTAAAAAACAATTTTATTTAATTAGAGATTATTTTTAGATCATAATCTTCAATTAAAAAAATTATCATGATTGTAAGACAAGGTTTTCCACCGTAATTTTTATTTATTTTTTTCTCACTTTTCTTTAGGGAATGGCAATATTATTCCTGATACTTACATCGTTTTCTAATCTCGAGTAATTAACTAAATACGTTTTTATAAACAGACCTCGAGAGTTTTTCTGAGAAAACCCATAAAACTTGGAATATTTACGAGGGTCAAGTCAAGCCACCCCCGAGTGGTCGATGATCGAAACCAGATGTCTTTAAGACTGTGAGAACCAATTCTCTAAAAATCGTCGAGTTAGAATTAGTTTTAACCCACACTTCATCGGGGTAGTTTGAG